CAGCCTCCCCCCAAAACACATTGGCTGTTTTTATATGACTTTTTTTTAGCAACAACTAAAATGATCTCGGACTCTTCCATCCAGTTTTGGTCCTTTCTGCATTTCTATAGTTTGATAAATTAATTTCTCTCTTGTTCACTCTGCAGCATTATCTCAAACAATATTAGCAGCCCTAGCCAGGTGTCTGTGGACTGACGAACATTTCCCAATTATGTTATGGAAATGAGGAGAGGGCAAGGTGTTCTGTAATCCTAACACACTTCCTGTCCTAGAGTGACAACGCTACTCCACCATAGATACAGTGAGTCAGTGTTGTCACCCTAGGACAGGAAGTGTGCTACTGGAAGGATCAAGAGGTGAAAGGCTTGACAAAAGAAAAAGAATGCAGCCACCTTATTGAAGAACTTGTAGGCTGCGATATACGTATAATAATCTTGGGTTCTGACACTTTAAAACGGAATTAAACCTCGGCATAAAAAATGCCCCCTCCCCCCCACGGAGACTTTATACCATAATATACTAATATGTACCATATATTAGCACATTATGGCAGAACACCTGCCTAGTGATCCCTTCCAGCATTGCAGTGTACATGCTCTTGGCTGTCATGGGCACTTCAGTCTTCTCCCAATCTTCCTTCCAGGGTTAGATTTGGATCCCTTTCCATTTTTTTTTTTAGCTTTTGGATATAAATGTTATGTTAAAGTAGCAGCGCACTGACTACGTGGTTAGGACTTCCGCCTGGCAGTACTAGGGTTGTCAGTGTAAATCCCAACCACGGCACTACCTGCATGAAGTTTGCATGTTCTCCCTGTGCCTGCGTGGGTTTCCTCCCACACTCCAGAGACATGCTGGTAGGTTAATTGGAATCTGTCTAATTTGGCCCTAGTATGTGTATGTATGAATGTGAGTTAGGGACCTTAGATTGTACACCCCTTGAGGGTTAGGGACTGATGTGAATGTACAATATATATGTGAAGCGCTGTGTAAATTGATGGCGGTATATAAGTACCTGAAATAAATAAATAAATAATGACAGTAATATTTACCATCAGAAGTAGTTTTCCCACAGACTGTTTTGCTGAATTGTCCTTCCTTATCATACTCTGTAATATAGGCCTGTACTTTCAGGCAGTAGTTGGTCCAGGTCTCCAGCTTAGTCAATGTTTTTGCATTGTGTGAAGTGTTCACAGCCAGAACCTGGAAGAGAGGAAGGTTTTTAAAGTCAGCTCCTTCCAGAATGAGAGATCACATACACAAAGGCCACATTTTGGAGATCCTGCAAAGCCTGTACACAGCTACTACAAAGTCTTCATAGAAAAGACGAGACAAGGAGTGTCCCAACACCCCTTTTTGGTATTTTAATATATATTAATATTGAGGAGTATACAGCAGTGGAAAGTGATTCTTTGGAGACCTCCAGCCAACCCTATGTACTGTACGCATTTTTGACCGCTTGCTCTGGTGGTCATGTTGTTCCAGTAAAAGGCTATATACAGTGAAGGAAATAAGTATTTGATCCCCTGCTGATATTGAATGTTTGCCCGCTCACAAAGAAATGATCAGTCTAAAAATCGAATGGTAGGTGTATTGTAACACTGAGAGACAGAATAGCAACAAAAAATTCAAAAGAAATGCATGTCTAACAAATTATGCACTGATTTGCATATTCATGAGGGAAATAAGTATTTGATCCCCTTCACAAAACATGACTTAGTACTTGGTGGCAAATCCCTTGTTGGCAATCACAGAGGTCAGACGTTTCCTGTAGTTGGCCACCAGGTTTGCACACATCTCAGGAGGGATTTTGGCCCACTCCTCTTGGCAGATCCTCTCCAAGTCATTAAGGTTTAGTGGCTGAAGTTTGACAACTAGAACTTTCAGCTCCCTCCACAGATTTTCAATCTGGAGGGAGCTGAAATCAGTATGGAGACTGGCTAGGCCACTACAGGACCTTAATGTGCTTCTTCTTGAGCCACTCCTTTGTTGCCTTGGCCATGTGTTTTGGGTCATTGTCATGCTGGAACACCCATCCACAACCCATTTTCAATGCCCTGGCTGAGGGAAGAAGGTTCTCACCCAAGATTTGATGATGCATTGCCCCGTCCATTGTCCCTTTGATGCAGTGCAGTTGTCCTGTCCCCTTAGAAGAAAAACACCCCCAAAGCAGAATGTTTCCACCACCATGTTTGACAGTTGGGATGGTGTTCTTGGGGTCATAGGCAGCATTCCTCCTCCTCCAAACATGGCGAGTTGAGTTGCTGCCAAAGAGCTGGATTTTGGTCTCATCTGACCACAACACTTTCAACCAGTCCTCCTCTGCATCATTCAGATGTTCAGTGGCAAACTTCAGACGGACCTGGACATGTGCTTTCTTGAGCAGAGGGACCTTGCGGACACTGCAGGATTTCAATCCTTGTCGTCGTAGTGTGTTACCAATTGTTTTCTTGGTGACTGTGGTCCCAGCTGCCTGGAGATCATGGACACTCCACGAGGTGAGATCTTGCATGGTGCACCAGACCTAGGGAGACTGACAGTTGTTTTGTGTTTCTTCCATTTGTGAATGATTGCACCAACTGTTGTCACCTTCTCACCAAGCTGCTTGGCGATAGTTTTGTAGCCCAGTCAAGCCTTGTGTAGGTCTACAATCTTGTCCCTGACATCCTTGGACAGCTCTTTGCCATGGTTGAGAGTTTGGAATCTGATTGTTTGATTGCTCCTGTGGACAGGTGTCTTTTATACAGGTAACAAAATGAGATTAGCAGCACTCACTTTAAGAGACTGCTTCTAATCTCAGCTTGTTACCTGTATGAAAGACACCTGGTAGCCAGAAATCCTGCTTAATGATAGGGGATCAAATACATATTTCCCTCATGAACATGCAAATCAGTCATCTTTTGTTAGACATGCATTTCTTTTGAATTTTTTGTTGCTATTCTGTCTCTCAGTGTTACAATACACCTACCATTCGATTTTTAGACCAATCATTTCTTTGTGAGTGAGCAAACATTCAAAATCAGCAGGGGATCAAATACTTATTTCCGTCACTGTATGTGGAAGGTGGAAGAAGTCTCCTTTTCAAGCACTTTTATTTTCTTTGTCACTGGGTCTTTGTGAATTCCAGCTACATTATCTGGACTCTCTTGCATGAAAAATATTGTCATTCTATTCACGAACATACATTTTTGAGTTTTTTTATCCATGAATTAGCGCTGCATTTATTTTCTACAACATACTGTATATGTCTGGGGAATGGGCACTGAAGAGGTAATGCACATGGGCTGAGGACTCGGCGATGAGGGGTTAATACATAAGTACAGAGGAGGGGTTAATGCTTATATACTCTAGACTGGTCACTGAGGGGTTAATGATTATACACTGCAGACTGGTCACCGAGGGGTTAATGCACACATTGAGTATTCATCACTGAAGGGTTCATGCACATGTTCTTGAAGCAGATTGCACACACTGCAGACTGGTCACAGAGGGGTTAATGCTTATATGCTGGAGACTGGTCACCGAGGGGTTAATGTTTAAAGGCTGATGGACTGGGGGTGGGTAATGTGTCTTCTGTGTTGCCTGATCCTTGAGAGGGTAATACACATACATGGCAGACTGGTCACTGATGGAATAAAATGGGAGTAAAGCCATACTATAAGTGGTGCTAAAAAAACTCCCTCCCCCCCTCCCCCCCGCATGGCCTGTATAAAAGAGATCTGTGGAAATACTGTTTCTTTAATCGTCTCTGATGGTGTCACATGATACAAAAGCTCCCCTGTGTTACCCCAGGTTCACACCTAAGTGTTTTCCGCAGCGTTTTGCAGAAACACAGTACAGTCCATTTAACATGATTTCCTATGGGCCACGTTCACAGCTCCGCGTTTTCACCCGGTGCATTTTTTGGAAAGGATCAGGGACTTTTTTAATGCAAAAAGTAGCATTTTTGGTTCTATAGAATTCAATGGAGACTCTGCAGAAAAGTATGTAGTACTCCTGTATCCCTCCTCCAGCACACACACATTGGTATTTTCCCTTGTATCCCTCCTCCAGCACACACACATTGGTATTTTCCCTTGTATCCCTCCTCCTGCACACACGCACATTAGTATTTTCCCTTGTATCTCTCCTCCTGCACACACACTGCACCCCCTCCTGTACACACACGTTGGTATTTTTCCTTGTATCCCCCCTCCAGCACACACACGTTGGTATTTTTCCTTGTATCCCTCCTCCTGCACACACATTGGTATTTTCCCTTGTATCCCTCCTGCTGCACACGCACATTGGTATTTTCCCTTGTATCCCCCCTCCAGCACACCACATTGGTATTTTCCCTTGTATCCCCCCTCCAGCGCACACACATTGGTATTTTCCCTTGTATCCCTCCTCCAGCACACGCACATTGGTATTTTCCCTTGTATCCCTCCTCCCAGCACACGCACATTGGTATTTCCCCTATATCCCTCCTCCAGCACACGCACATTGGTATTCCCCTTGTATCCCTCCTCCAGCACACACACATTGGTATTTCCCCTGTATCCCTCCTCCAGCACACACACATTGGTATTTTCCCCTATATCCCTCCTCCTGCACACACACATTGGTATTTTCCCTTGTATCCCTCCTCCTGCACACACACATTGGTATTTTCCCTTGTATCCCCCCTCCAGCACACATACATTGGTATTTTCCCAGATGGTTTATTTATGGTGTAATGTATGCATATGTATTAATTGTTGATCACTAGTAATAAATCACAGGAGGTCATGGGAGCGATAATCAGTCTAACATACATCCACCTTGTGTCTGTAAAATCCATCAGTTAGTACTTTGCCTTTTTTATCCCATGTAAGGATAGGTTCACACTATGGTGGGTCTGTGCTGGCCCAGCAGCCCATTCACATGCACTGTACACTTCAGTTATACACACAGTGCCTCCAGGAAGGCAGTTGGCCTTATGTGATATTTATATAAATTCTTACATGAGAAGGGTCCTCTTCCTTCCAGTACAATATTCTGTATAGGAGTTCACCATATTTGTCCTTTATGGATTCCTTTTTGTGATCAGACTCAAGATGAGGACCAGACATAACGGTGTCCAGGTGGCCAGACCTGGAGGAAACAAGGACTTCTGGTGGACCAATCACCGCTGGAGAAGAACAAAGAACAAGATTTATACAGTAATGATTACAATTTAGGATTGTCTCCATTGTTTACAAAAACCTAAAAATACAGCTGATCTGGGTGCCTAAAGCCTAGTACACACAATGAGAAAATCCGATGAAAAATACCGCTTTAAGAGCGTTCATGTGTTAATCTGATCGTTAGTACACAGATTTCGAGAGCTGATCACGACAGATCGTGCAAAATTATGTGAAGGGACAAGCATTCAAATTTTTCTCATATAATACCAGAACGAATGATTTTCATTTAATCAGTACAATATTTGTCTGAAAAAAGCGAGTGACCAAGACCGCGCATGCTCAAAAATGAAAGAGTACATTACAATAGAACACAATGCATTACATCACTGCTGAAGTTGTATCCTGCCATACGAGAATTTTCTTTTAGTAACCTCTACATTTCCGATTATTACATTATTATATACTATATTTTTGATGACTGTCATGCAAAAAAGTCTCAGATTCCGTTCCTAGTTTTGAGTCACCTACTCTCAATCATCCACTGACCGATATTACAGGTACTATTTAACCACTTGCCTACCAAGTACTTTCACGCCCTTCCTGCCCAGGCCAATTTTCAGCTTTCAGTGCTGTTGCACTTTGAATGATAATTGCTCGGTTATAGAAACAAAATTTTTATACATTTATTTTAGACATATATAACTTTCTATTGGTGGTATTAATCACCACTGGGTTTTTTATTTTTTGCTAAACAAGCCCAAAAATATGAGAAATTTGGGGAAAAAAAGTTTCTTAGTTTTTGTTATAAAATTTTGTAAATAAGTAATTTTTCTACTTCACTAATGTGCGTGGATGAGGCTGCACTGATAGGTGACACTGTCAGGTGGCACTGATGGGAACTGATAGATGGCACTGATGAGGAGGCACTGATGAGCACGGACAGGCATCACTGATGGGCACTGATAGGTGACACTGATGGGCACTGATAGGTGACACTGATGGGCACTGATATGCAGCACTGATGGGTGGCACTGATATGTACTGATAGACTGCACTGATGAGGAAGCACTGATAGGCAGCACTGATGGGCATTGACAGGCATCACTGATGGGCACTGATAGGCAGCACTGATGCTCACTGAAAGGCAGCGTTGAAGGACACTGAGAGGCATCACTGATGGGCGCTGAGAGGCAGCACTGATGGGCGCTGAAAGGCAGCACTGATGGGCGCTGAAAGGCAGCACTGATGGGCGCTGAAAGGCAGCACTGATGGGCGCTGAAAGGCAGCACTGATGGGCGCTGAAAGGCAGCACTGATCATCAGGGCACTGATGATCAGTGCTCTGATTATCAGTGTAGATGTCCACTGTGTGGACTGTCGCTTATCGGCTCTCCTCTCCTCATGTGCTGTCAGCGTGAGGAGAGAACTGCCGATAACTGGCATTTCCTGTTTACATGTAATTAGCTGTTATTGGACACAGCTGAGCACATGGTACAGAGCCTACGTCATTGGCTCTTTACTGCGATTGGTGATCCACGCGCTCCCAGTGGCACGCATGCGCAGCTAGAGTGGGGGGGATGTCATATGACAGGCGGACCCGACGTGTGAAAGAGACCTAAAAAAGTATGTTTACTGCATATATAGACTGATTTTACTGTTGTGGGTTTACTAATACTTTAATATGCTTTAATGCGTGCACCACTTATTTGAGGACAGGGTTTGTTCGCTGCGTGCACCCACTTGAGGACGGGGTTTTGTTCGCTGCGTGCACCTATTTGAGGACGGGGTTTGTTCGCTGCGTGCACCCACTTGAGGACGGGGTTTGTTCGCTGCGTGCACCCACTTGAGGACGGGGTTTGTTCGCTGCGTGCACCCACTTGAGGACGGGGTTTGTTCGCTGCGTGCACCCATTTGAGGACGGGGTTTGCTCGCTGCGTGCACCTATTTGAGGACGGGGTTTGCTCGCTGCGTGCACCTATTTGAGGACGGGGTTTGCTCGCTGCGTGCACCTATTTGAGGACGGGGTTTGCTCGCTGCGTGCACCTATTTGAGGACGGGGTTTGCTCGCTGCGTGCACCTATTTGAGGACGGGGTTTGCTCGCTGCGTGCACCTATTTGAGGACGGGGTTTGCTCGCTGCGTGCACCTATTTGAGGACGGGGTTTGCTCGCTGCGTGCACCTATTTGAGGACGGGGTTTGCTCGCTGCGTGCACCTATTTGAGGACGGGGTTTGCTCGCTGCGTGCACCCATTTGAGGACGGGGTTTGTTCGCTGCGTGCACTCATTTGAGGATTTGAGGACGGGGTTTGTTCGCTGCGTGCACCTATTTGAGGACGGGGTTTGTTCGCTGCGTGCACCTATTTGAGGACGGGGTTTGTTCGCTGCGTGCACCTATTTGAAGACGGGGTTTGTTTGCTGCGTGCACCTATTTGAGGACGGGGTTTGTTCGCTGCGTGCACCTATATGAGGACGGGGTTTGTTCGCTGCGTGCACCTATTTGAGGACGGGGTTTGTTTGCTGCGTGCACCTATTTGAGGACGGGGTTTGTTCGCTGCGTGCACCTATTTGAGTGACCTATTTGAGGGGGTTTGTTCGCTGCGTGCACCTACCTTTGAGGACGGGGTTTGTTTGCTGCGTGCACCTATATGAGGACAGGGTTTGCTTGATAAATGTGTCTATTTGAGGACAGGATCTGCTCTATGCATGTCAAAATTCAAAAACAAGGTCTGCACAATGCATGTGCCAATTTGAGGACAGGATCTGCTTGCTGTAGGTGTCATACAAAGACAAGGAGCATGATTTAAGGACATATCTGGGTCCATACTTGTGCCAGGGTCTTTCTGACAAATGTGCTAATTCGAACCTCTCGTGTATTGTTTTGTTACTGTATTGTCTCATGTTCTGTCCCCCACTATAATGTACAGTGCTGAGCAAACTTTTCGGCGCTATATAAATACTGTATAATAATAATAATAATAATGATAATGATAGGGTCTGCTCACTAAGAAGAATGAACAACTGACCCACTGCCTGTCTCCGGCTTGCCACATACAGCAAATACTATAGCCTGCTATCATTTCTGCTACCAAAAACCTGTCCTTAGCTCTGCTCTTGCACCACTTCTGTAAATGTGAAGCAGCAGAGAGGTTTTACTATACATTTAATTTTAACCCCTTGGCACCGGCGCCTCCCGGTCCTTTAAGGGTTTCAGAAGCTGGGATGCATGTCAGGGTTTAGGGACATGTGACCGCCGTGACATGCCGCCACGGCAGTCACATGATCGGGAAAGGTCTCGATCGAAAGAGGAGATCGGGACCTTTCCGTGAGTACCGGACATGTGTGCTGGGAGCGCGCAGGGCGGTATATCGCACGGGATTCGCACAGGAACCACACCACCGCATTCCTGTGCAAATCATATGCAAATTGTGTGCGGTGTGATTGGAGCCATACATTTTGTATGACTCAAATCTTACCGCATCCACACCAAAAAAGGCGCAGGACCCTTTTTTTGGTCCACACTAGAATCAGATCGCATGGGTATTCACACCCATGCAAAGCGATTCTGCACATCGCACCACATTTTGCGAATCGATTTTGGGGTGTTGTTAACTTAGCATACACATCCTCAGCGGGGTGTGATTGTGATGCGGTGCGGAATTTGCACAGAAAACACTGCAATTTCCGCACCGCATCAGTATGAACCCAGGCTCAGAGCAGAATGAAAACTCCTCCTACAAGCTTTAACCAGTACTCAGCCAGACACTGACAGAAGTCACAAGACTATATACTGCTAATGAGAAAAGGTATTTAGCAGTTTATATTTACTAAAATAATTGCATTTCCATGTTGTGTGTACTGTGGGAGACCAGATATAGTGAATGCAGGGTCCGGGTTTAATAACACGTTGATATATCAAGTGAGCCACAAACATGTAGACTTGTATGCCCTTTATAATTGTAGGGTGTTTCAAGAGATGGGGCTCAACAAATGGCCTCTGCAGTCAAAACATCAGATCAGCATCAGGCCCTTCAAATGTGATGGGTCTGGGGCAGGGGCGGACTGACAACTCATGGGGCCCCCCGGCTATAGGGGATCATGGGGCCCCTGTGTCCTTGCCCAAACTCAAAAAAGCCTATGAAAAAAGGTACCAGGGGCATCTCATGGGGCTCCCTACTGACCCCGGGCCCTCGGGCAGTGCCCGAGTTTCCAAATGGTCAGTCCGCCCCTAGTCTGGGCAGGATTTGTGGGGCCTGTGCAATGGATCTGCCGCTGTAAAGGATTCTGTTGGACTACCTTAACTTCTCACTGTGCTGTTAGTAAAGTGTTGGTACAAGGTCCTGTTACAGTGCTCCCCATGACTCCATCAGAGAGTGAGCAAAGTTTGGCATGCCTCCAAATATTCTCAGATGGGCTCCTGCCCTGAAATCCTGCCCTTGGTAACATCCTAGGAAGTTTACATCTACAAAATTACACAAGCCATTAGCTGGTTTACAGAATAAATATACTTACTTTCATTGTAGGGGTCAAATCGTATTGTCGTCCAGTCTGATTGGCTGCCCCCCACTGCTGCACTCACTCTTGCATAACATGTATAAGTAATGTATGTTAAATCACACACCAGGTATGGAGTTACACAGACATCAGAGTAATTAATCTGTTTACTGTAATCACTGCAAAAAAAGGAAAAAAAATTGTAACTGTAATTTTTAAAAATGCATTTCATGACAAAATACATAAACACAATCTAAGCAAGACTTCAAAATGCGTTAAAGCTGAACTCCTGGCAGATCAAAAGTAACCACTTAAAGCGGAGCTCCGCCCAAAAGGGGAAGTTCTGCTTTAAGGTCCCGTCCCCGCTCCCAGTTAAGGATTGGCACCTTTGGGGAGCGGGGGAGGGGAGGGGGAGCGGGTACCCAAATTAACATTTTGACAGGTACCTGCTCTGACTGCATAGGCGATCGGACGTGGAAGTTCTACTTCCCCCCTGAAGTCTTCTGGGACACATGGCAGGTCTCAGAAGACTGCGGGACCAAATGTGCATGCGCAGTGGGCACCCGGCTGTGAAGCTGCAAGCTGTCACAGCCGAATACCCACACTTAACCTCCCTAGCGGTCTGATTATGTCCATATTTCTGTGCTCAAAGCGGTACATTTTTTTTCATGGAAATATGTATTTTTTTTATTGTAGGCATGTAATTTTTAGGAATAACTCACTGAAATCTGTCCGAACAAAAGTCTAGTAAACATCCCGGGTATGATAAAACTTGAAATACGAAATCGTAAATTATACTTTAATAAATAATCATAAAAAATAATAATAATAAATTTAATTCAATAATATAATCAAACCAAAAATGCTGAAATTTGAAATATAGCGCCAAGTTCGCACATCACTGAGCAAAGTCGCAAAATCGTTTTCAGTGTCTGATGATGAATTTCCCCACAAATCATTATCACTCAATTCTGCAAGTGGTTCTGATTTACTATCGCTGTTCTCTAGCTGGTCTAAAACCGATTTTGACCTAAAGGGACGCTTTTTGGACGCCATGGACGTTTCTCAGTTTCCAGGCAGAAAGAACAGTAAAAATGCAGGCAGGGCACAGGACAAAGCACTCGGGACAAAATGTATGTGAAATGGTTTGATACAGTAATGTTTTACTATGTGATTTTAGTGAATGTCACTTTTTGTCAGTTTCAAATTTCCCGCCAGTTCCGTCCCCCATACGTCCCGACGCTCGCAGGGGATGGAACCCAGATGACAGATGCCGACATCCGCCGGATTACATTGCCGGGGACACTGCAGGAGGGACATTGCGGGAGCGAAGGACAAGGTAAGTGACCGAGGGATCGTGGAGCAGCGCTGCATGGTAAGCCCGAGTGTAGCTCGGTACACAAGTGGTACTGAAACTTTACCCCGAGCTACACTCGGGAATACCGCCAGGGAGGTTAAGATGCTCACATTGGAGACAGAGGACACCGCTACATTGAGGAACAGGTGAGTGGCTGTTTTTTTAAAAGTTTTTGTAGATGCCGACTTTTATTGTTTTTCACCGGAGACTGGAGCTCCGCTTTAAGGACGAGGCCTTTTCTGGAACTTTTTGTTCACACGTAACAATCAGTTTTTTGGTTTTTTTTGCAAAAAATTACTTAGAACCCCCAGACACATTATATATGTGGATACACATTGATATTTTGCTCATAGAAGGTACATTATTACTATTTCCAGGCTTTAGCAATTGTGGGTGGAGTTCGGGAGATATGAAGGAATGAACCCACATTATTTTGAGATATCAGATAATATTGGCAGGTTTACAAAAGAAAAGAACTGACTGAAGCTTACATTTTATACTGCACTGTATAAACTACGTCTTCATTTTCCGTGAAGCCGGGTGGAGGGTTCCATCTTAGAATGTTCTTAAAGTTTACAGAATCCATCCTGACATTGGTGGGTTTAGGCAGCTTCCCAAAACCTGAAATACAACACAAAATAAAGAGCATTAAAGGGCTTCACCTAAACAAAAGAAGCATTGCTTCATTCAATTATAACTCTTGTGTGATATTAACCACTTGCCTACCGGCACTTATACCCCTTCCTTACCAGGCCAATTTTCAGCTTTCAGCACTGTCACACTTTGAATGACAATTGCGCGGTCATGCAACATTGTACCCATATGACATTTTTTATAATTTTTTTCTCACAAATAGAGCTTTCTTTTGGTGGTATTTAATTGCCGCTGGGCGCTTTACTTTTTGCACTATAAACAAAAATTGCAAAAAATGTGAAAAAAAAAAGTTTCTTTGTTTCTATTATAAAATTTTTCAAACAGGTAATTTTTCTCCTTCACTGCTGTGCGTTGATGAGGCAGCACTGATGGGCACTAATAGGCGGCACTGATGGGCACTGATAGGCAGCACTTATGGGAACTGATCTAGGCAGCACTGATAGGCAGCACTAATGAGGTGGCACGGATAGGCGGCACTGATAGGCAGCACTTATGAGGTGGCACGGATAGGCGGCACTGATAGGCAGCACTAATGAGGTGTCACGGATAGGTGGCACTGATAGACTGCACTGACTGGCACAACTGCTGGGCACTGTCTGGCACAACCACTGGGCACTGACTGGCAGCACTGCTGGGCTGCACTGATGAGCACTGGTGGGTGGCACTGGTGGGCACAGGTGGGTGGCACTGGTGGGCACAGGTGGGTGGCAATGGTGAATGGCACTGCTGGGCACAGGTAGGTGGCACTTCTGAGCACAGGTGTGTGGCACAGGTGGGTGCACTGCTGGGCACAGGTGGGCGCACTGCTAGGCACAGGTGGCTGCACTGCTGGGCACAGGTGTGTGGCACTGCTGGGTACAGGTGGGCAGAACTGGTGGGTGGCACTGCTGGGCACCGATCATCAGGGCACTGATCATCAGTGCCCTGATGATCGGTGCCAATCCCTGCTCTGACAACTGCCGGTTCTCGGCAGTACTCTCCTCACACTCTGACAGCGTGAGGAAAGTGCAGCCGAGAACCGGCAATTGCATTTCCCTGTGATCAGCGTGTCATTGGACACGGCTGATCACATGGTAAAAGGCCGCTGTGATTGGCCTTTTACCACATCACGTGATCAGCTGTGTCCGTAGGACACAGCGATCATGGAGATCGCCGGGTGTGTGCCCCCAGGGGCGCGCAGGAGATCGTTTTCTGGGAGGACGTCTTATGACGCCCTCCCAGAACTGGCCGGCCGCAGTGTAGCCGTCATTCGGCTATCTGTGGTCAGCAGGTGGTTAAAGGCAAAAAAACTCCCCAAAAACAAACAAACGTACTACTTATCTTCTCTGTACAGTGGTTTTACACAGAACAACTGTGATCCTCCTCTTCTGGGGTCTCCAGCCAGTGTTCCAGGTCCCTCCCTCCTGCCTAGTGCCCCCACAAACAGCTTGCTATGGGGGCACCTGAGCAGACTTGCTCCCAGCCGCTGCTTTGTGTGTCCATTCACACAGATCGGTGGCTCGGCCCCAACCCTTCCCTCTCCTTAATGTCTCACTGGTTGTGATTGACCGAGGCGGGAGCCAATGGCTCCCATTGCTGTCTCAGCTAATGAAGAGGGACAGTCCCTGAAGAGCTAAGGTTCTCATGCACATCGCTGGATTGTGATGGGCTCAGGTCCTTATTAGGGAGAGCTGCAACACACAGAAGGTTTTTTACTTTCATTCATGGAATGCATGAAGGTAAAAAACCTTCAGCCTTTACAACCACTATGACATGTCAATGTACTTTCAGAAATCATTTAAAAAATATGTTTAAACCTTCAGCTTTCAATAAAAGTATACCTTGTGATCAGGGGCGGACTGACCATTTGGAAATTCGGGCACTGCCTGAGGGCCCGGGGTCAGTAGGGGGCCCCATGAGATGCCCCTGGTACCTTTTTCATAGGCTTTTTTGAGTTTGGGCAAGGACACAGGGGCCCCATGATCCCCTATTGCACGGGGGCCCCATGAGTTGTCAGTCCGCCCCTGCTTGCGATCTTGACCTTGAACAGTTCCATAGCTGCAAATAGGGTGCAAATAGTCAAGTGACATTGATCTGTCAAGTGGCATGACAATTCGCATCGGTGAGAACAGGAGCTAAAAGTGTTTGTACAGCTTAGTGAAGGAACACCAATTAGTAAAAGAGTCACTAAGTTCTGCCATAACGTCAGCTGGAATCAGGTATTTTCTGTTTTCTCTGAATTATACTTTTTGTTGGAATTACCCGGCAAAAAAAACATAGACTTTAGCTTAAATAATTTCTGATGTCACAGAATAGAAACTGGTACGTTGTGTCAAGTGACAATAACTGTCTTTTTTTCTTTTTTCAACCAACGCTGAGGAGCAAAGGTGCCCGGTGACAACAAAGATTTCAAAAATTAACGATTGGCCATTGAAACCCATTTCATGAAGCTCTCTATGCACTGTTGTTTTACTAATCTGAAGGCCACATGAAGTTTGGAGGTTTTTAGCTATTGGCTCTGCAGACAGTTGGTCACTTCTGCGCACTGTGCGCTTCAGCATGCGCTGACCCCGCTCTGTCATTTTATGTGGCCTACCACTTGGTGGCTGAGTTTTTATAAAACAAACTTTACAACTTCAGACAAAACTTAGTTCTGGATAGAGTGGGGAAGGGGTAGATCACTTGTTAGGCTTTCATTGCTGTCTGGGGTCCCACTGAGAAAGATTTGTCAATGACAAAGTTTGAAAATAAATAATATCTGCGCTAGGTCAGAAAAACATATAATAATAAATAAGCAGCAGCTGAACAACTGTGTTACTAGTAGAGAAATCAATAAATAAAAACTGTAGCGCTAAAATTTTACATATAATGCCTCTAAATAAATTCCAATAAATAACATATAAATGTGTATATAACTGATATAAACATAATAAAACAATAATATAAACATTGTGCCACAGGAGTCCGCCTAAGGTTATAATATAACCAAAACTAGAAAGAGTAAATACACTACAGTCCAAATGAATGTCCGTGATATTCCAATCCTTCATTGGGTATAACCAACCACATACAATGTGATATGATCCACCATGGAAAATCCACTACCAAGTGCAATAGTGACACAGACACCTCTTACCAGATGTGGTGGATCATTAGATTATAAATGGTCAATGTGTGCTTGATGTCAGTCACCAATAGTGACTCCACCAAGGATCCAGGTGCTCACACCGACATCCATATGAAATGGACCATGGAAACAAAAAAATACAATTTATTTCCAAAAGTATTGGGACGCCCGCCTTTACACGCACATGAACTTTAATGGCATCCCAGTCTTAGTCCGTAGGGTTCAATATTGAGTTGGCTCCGCTCTTTTCAGCTATAACAGCTTCAACTCTTCTGGGAAGGCCGTCCACAAGGTTTAGGAGTGTGTCTATGGGAATGTTTGACCATTCTTCCAGAAGTGCATCTGTGAGGTCAGGCAATGATGACGGATGACAAGGCCTGGCTCCCTGTCTCTGCTCTAATTCATCCTAAAGGAGTTCTATCAGGTTGAGGTCAGGACTCTGTGCAGGCCAGTCAAGTTCCTCCACCCCAAACTCACTCATTCACGTCTTTATGGACCTTGCTTTGTGCACTGGTGCGTAGTCATGTTGGAACAGGAAGGGGCCATCCCCAAACTGTTCCCACAAAATTGGGAGCATGAAATTGTCTTGGTATGCTGATGCCTTAAAAGTTCCCTTCACTGGAGCTAAAGGGCCAAGCCCAACCCCTGAAAAACAGCCCCATACCATAATGCCCCCTCCACCAAACTTTACACTTGGCACAATGCAGTCAGGCAAGTACCGTTCATCTGGCAACCACCAAACACACCAAACACATATGAATTATTGAAAAATAATCCTACGAGAAAATTTAGATCAAAATTAATTAAACTGGTGAAAGAAGGAGAAAAATTGGGAATATTGAATAGTAAGGAGACAAAATATCTAGTGCCTAAGGCTCCTAAAGTACCAGTGATTTACCAATTACCTAAAATTCATAAAAATCTGGCAAAACCTCCAGGAAGACCGATCATAAATGGGATTGACTCGCTGTTCTCTAGACTGGGAGAAAATGTTGACAAGTTTCTGCAACCCTTGGTTTCTTCCTTTCCCGCTTACCTAAGAAATAACGGGGATTTGATCAACTTACTCAAAGATATTAATGAAAGTGAATATTGTGTCATGGCCAGTGTAGATGTAAATTCATTATACACTAATATAAAACATCATGATGCCCTACTAGCAGTCAAATGGGCATTGGAAATTAAGTCAGGAGTTGGTTTTGACCAAATAGAATTCATTGTAAAATGTCTGGATCTGGCTATGACACATAATTTTTTCTGGCACTCTAATAAATTTTATAAACAAATTATGGGTGTAGCTATGGGTGCTAAGTATGCCAATTTATTTATGAGTAGGTGGGAAGGCAAGGCTATTTTTGAAGGTAGTAAGAAAGAATTGCTATTATATAGAAGGTTCATAGATGACATTATCATTGTATGGAAAGGAGAGAGAGAAGGACTTGTTGACTTTATTAATAAAATGGGGAATAATGATGTTAACTTATCGTTCACCTATCACGTGAGTGAAACAGCCATTGATTTTCTGGACCTGACGGTGTACAGGCAAGGAAATAGATTTTTTACTAAGACCGACTTTAAAGATGTTGACAGGAATGGGTACATTCCTAACCATAGCTGTCATCACAGGAATTGGCTTAAGGCCATTCCTAAAGGTCAACTTATTAGGTTAAAACGTAACTGTGATGATAATAAGGTATTTCAAAATCAATCTGATATGTTATTGAATAGATTTAAAGAAAAAGGTTATAAAGAACAGTCCTTGCAATGTGCTCTAGAACAGGTCAAGAGAATGAATAGGGAAGAACTGCTGGTCAGTCTAAAGATAGGCAAATGGGAGATATGGCTTTTATAACGAGTTATTCTCGCCAATTTAAATTAGTGGAAAGATTATAAGAAAGCATTGGCCGATTCTAAAAAGAGATGAGGTTTTGAATAAACTACTTCCGGAAAGGCCTAGTTTCATTTATAGAAGACCGCCTGTATTAAGGGATAAGTTGGTAAAGAATGTTCCTGATAAACCGAGGAAAATAGCCACCTTTTTGGACAGAGTTGTTTTTTTTAAATGCGGACGATGTTTAGCATGTAGGCTTTTGAAAGGGGATAATAATAAAAAATACTTGACAGTGATAGTTTCAAATCAAGCTCTATTGGTTCATCTTATAAAATTAAGAAGTTTATATCATGTGACACTAACCATGTTACCTATTTGCTTGAATGTTCTTGTAACCTTCAATATATAGGGAGAACCACTAGAAAACTATCTGTTAGATTGGGAGAGCATATTAGAAACATCAAAAAAGGATTTAAGTATCACAGTTTATCACATCACTTTAGGGTTTGTCATAATAGGGATCCAACCTGTTTAAAATTTTGTGGTGGAATAGATAGAGTGGAGACGCCGTGGAGAGGAGGGGATATGTTGATAGGCATCTCACAAAATGAAACTAAGTGGATTTATAATATGGGGACATTGGTCCCCAAAGGTTTAAATGCAGAAATTGACATTAATTGTTTCTTGTCCAATTGGTGAATAGATTGACTGAGATCATTAATATTATTCTCGGTGTGGGTGTCAGTCACTCTACTCAGTGGAAGGTTAATGCTTGCATCCAATATAGGTTTCTGGTGTTATAGCTTCAATTTTTAATTTTATGTTTATTTGAGCACACTTTTTTTTTGTATTTTATTTTGATTTTGATTTAGATTTTTTATTTTCATTATTATTTTTATTATTATTTTTATTTTCTTTTTCATTTTTTATTTTTATTTCTATTTATTATATTTTTCATTCATTTCATATTATTTTATATATATACAGTTGCAAGAAAAAGTATGTGAACCCCTTGGGATTACGTGGAGTTTTGCATGAATTGGGCATAAATGTGCTCTGAACGTCATCTAAGTCACAACAATAGAAGAACACAG